TCAAGTATATTCCTCAGAGATGATAGAAGAGTAGGCAGGCATGAAGGAGTACTCAAAGACTGCTACCCCAAGCTACAGCCAACCTTTAATCAAGTGGCAGTCTCCGTAACAAGAAACAAGGACCCTGAGAGTAAAAGACGCATCTACCACACAGTGCAGGAACTGCACATCTTTCTTGCACCCAGAGGAGCTTCACCAGGCACCATGAACAGAGGATGCAGGAGGGGGTACCTACTGAAGGCAGGTAAGGGGTACCCTTGACCTGCTCCTCTGGCTGCGGCCTATAGAATCCTCCTGAAAGGCTACTGGGAACATTAGTAGTGACACGTGAGATGTAGTCTAACAACACCACTGGCTTTCATTACAGAGGGAAGCCAGGACCTCCACAGGAGTCAAATGTAGAGCCGCTTCACGTAGTTTTCATTTTAAGTTAATTTGCACTGTAAATTCCCAATTTATAGGATTTGATCATATCCTGGCAATAGTAAGTCTAGGAAACAGTCATGCTTACATTCTGTTATATGAAGGCTAAATTTGAGCATCCAAATACAAGCGGGTTACACTAACTACTCTGGCAATACAATGATCTAATTCGGTTTTCTCCTTAGTATTAGTAAGATGGAGGATTAGAATATTCCTTTAATTGAAAACAAAATGGTTAGAAAGTGTACTGAATCCTTTGGCCCTGAGTGTCTAAGGTTAGCACAGCAGGCACATTGCCAGCTGTCTCAAGGGGAAATGAGAGGGGCATGAAAGAGAGGCCTGTACAGAGGCAGCCTCTGGAAGACTAACCAGGCTTTTGCCAGTTTCCACAGAGTTGGGGTGGGTGGGTGGGGAGTGCACCCTTCCACTGGGAAGGAAGAACGCACCACGTCTTCAGCTGGGACTTTTAAAGACTGGAACTGGAAGCCCTGGGTCATGGTGACACTGGGTGCCCTTGTGGGACTCTCAAATGGCTAGCAGGCTGACAGCTTGACATTTACACCTCACATCCCTGGACCTGAAATAGTGGTAAAATTACCATGCAATTCACAGTCCTGGAGCAGCGCTCATTCCAACTGAATACCATTCACAATTTGCTTTGGCTGAATATGGGAGAAAAGAAAGAAAATCCAAGACTCAGAGGGTGTCTCATTACTTTAAAGAAAACCCCTTAAATCTTTCCGAAGATACCTTTTCCAAAGTAGCAGAAGATTAAAGTTCCTCAGACTATGTCCTCAGATACACACTGTAAAAACGGGGGCAGCTGCAGCCTGGGCAGACTCCAGACGCCCTCACGTAAGTGGCAACTGGTGGGAATCCAGACTCAGAATTAGTTACCTGCCGAGGGCAAAGTTGCTCATTCCAGCAAACTGAGGCCAGACCCTTGCTTTGGGCAGTTAGGGACACAAGTTAAAAAGGGGACACAAGTTAAAAAGTGTTCGAGGACGGTCCGTGTAAGATGCTTTTCTCAGGAAGACACAAGCGAAGTAGAAGGCTGGGAAGATCAAACTGATTTCTTCCCTCTTTCCCCCAAATTCATCATTAATAATTAATGTTAATTACATAATTCCCTTCTATTTGCAGAAGTGAGTCCCTGAGGCCTTCTCTCCTCGTAAACACTTTGCAAGGGTGGTTATTACATGTGCTTGCTTGATGGTAGGAAAGTGCTATTTCATAGAATATGCTGTAATTAAACACTTGTACACTTTTAGCTTGGTTTCATCTTATTTGAATACTGAAGAATTCAATTTTAAAGCATCGTGATGTATTCCTAACACCTTTCCCTTCTGTACCTCACAGGAATTATTTTCCTCATCTCCTTCATATCCTTTCTTCACTGTAAGTTTTAAATCTGAATTAACTGACTTTTTTTTGAGTCAGGGAGTCAATCTGCACCCTGAGCTGATCTTACACTTGCAGCAATCCTCCTGCCTCAGCTTCCAAGTGCTGGGATTACAGCTATGAAGCACCATGCTTGGCAGGGCCCCTAGTATTTCTGATACTTTTCCATTCCTGAAGTTCCAGAATGTTCTTTGTTCTTGGAGGCAGGAACTTAGTCTTTTATCTCCACTCAAGGGATGGTGCCGTGAAGAAGGAGCCCAACTGGGACCTGGGAGGGGTGGCCGGGGCCATGGAGTGGCCCCTGCAATCACTCGCCCTGGGTCTGAAGCCTGGTCCTACCTGTGGGGATGAAGGGCACACAGGCCAACCTGTCCAAGCCTGGTTTTCTCACCTGCAAAGTGATGACTGGCTCATTTGGAAGAGACCAGCAGTCATTGCAGAGAGAGGGGAAGTGCGCACTCACGCTGTGCTTGGGCCTTCCTAGAGACACAGAGGAGACCTGTGTGCTCTCCTGAGTCAAATGCGAACGCTGCTCAGAATAGGACCCCCAAATTCACTGGCCGGTGGTAAGCATTGGTGTTTTGTTTTGTTCTTGGGTTTCCCAGACAGTATCTTGCTATGTAGCCCAGGCTGGCTTTAAATTTACAGTGATCTGCCTGCCTCTGCCTCCTGAGTGCTGGGATTATAGGCGTGAGCCACCACATCAGGCCCTGGCTTCTCTGGCTAAAAACAGTTTTGGAGCTGCTACACGTGATGATAAAATGGATTAGCCAAAGGAGCTGTAAAATGTCTTCCCTTTAAAATAATGAACCCCAGAATAAAGCCATCGTGTTAACAGATGAGGGATGAGACTAATGACCTGTCTTTCACAGCAGTGTCTTTCTGACTGTAAGACACCAGTCAACTATTTTACTGGTAATTTAAATGCTTAAGATGAACAGGGGGAAACCCCTCCTTTAGAGGTCTCTGCTTCACAGGAATGCCGAGGAGGAGGATACAGGAGGGCAGCCCTTGACTTGAACACACCGGTTCCTATCCCTTAGTGCTTGCTGGGACAGGGGCCTGGGGATGAACACTGGTTTTAAGATCACTAATGGCAGTGTGGGACCAAGGAGGGGCCATCGCTCAGGGTACACCATGGTGTAGACGGCACAGAGGAAGAAGGCAAGGTCCGAAGGCATGAGATGGAGGGGCTGGGGGGAGGGCCAGGTGTGGGAACACCATCCTTGCTTCAGATTGCTTGCACCAATAAACGCACACAATACTTCCTGACGACACACCCCCACTGTTCTGCAGGGATCCAGTGACTGTGTTGTGGAAAGGGCCCTGGAACTGAAGCAAACAGGTAGAACACTGGACCAAGAAGGCAACGTCCTTCCAAGGTGACGGAAACCATTGCCTTCTGGGGAAGAAGGAAGTCCCAGGAAGGGCTCGTGACACAGAGCTTGCGGTTTGTGTGCGGGAGGATTTGCTGGCTCAGTGCTCTTAACCGGAGGCTAGTCCAATGCAACAACGCGGAGAAGCAGAGGGAGGGATTTACTAAAAAAAGAAATCCATTTCTCAGTGATGGCCTTCCCTGATCTCAACTCCTATAGCAGAGCTTGTGCTTATGCACACAGTACTTCTCAGAGGAGCCAAGGAATCACAAGCATGGAGCTCATGTGTGAAGCCAGCATGAACCTCCCTTGGTCCTGCATGGAGCCCACATGGTTCTGGATGAAGCGCACATGGTTTAAGGTCAAGGTTGAGACCCTCAGTAGCCCCAGTTCTGAGAATGTGGCTCTACCCTTGTCTAAATCCATATCAGGAAAGGCCCACACTTTCTGTACCTACAGAATTTACAAACACTTGTCCAAGCTGTTTTCCATGCTAGCTCTGGTTGTTAAGAGCCCACTCAGGCCTGGGAAGGGGGCAGGCAGGTGGGCTCCCATAGGGGACTTGACTCGGGGTCTACCTCAGTTCAGCCACAAGCAGGGCTGCTCGTCACCCCTAAGCTTATGGTATTAGCACGAAGATTTCATGACATGCTATGAAGTCAGTCATGCAAACCCTCAGTCTCTGGCCACCGTGCCCATTAAGCACAATACAGCAATATAAGGTAAAGAAACTCTGGGAATACCGAACATCTTTTAGAGACGGAGCTTCAAAACGAGACACTGGTAAGTCACTGTTTTTAGACTGAGAAGTACTAGCTACTGGAAAGACAGGGTCTCCAGGGTCTCCAGGGCTGGTTGGCCAGGCTCTGGGAACCTATGTTTGTTTTTTGTGCAGACACAGATCCCACCAAAACATAGCTTCTTGTGGGCAGGTCCAGCTCTGGCTGTGGACTGAAGCAACTGGACATCTTTGGGGCACTTGTCTTAACCTGGCATGTTCCTGGAATTCTCAGATCTGAGGTCTTCCAGCAACTGTACCAGATTATGTCAGTCTACCCAAATGATCCATTAATGTCTAATTTTAGTACACAAAATATAGTTCAGGCACGATACTTTAAATGTCTTACTACCAAAACTGACTCCAAAATACACGGTTCAGTTTTACAGCCATGGCAACAGGGCTCTTCCCACACCTGCACTCTCAGGAAGGCAGAATGGGAACTGTATGTGGGTGTGGCTCTGGGTACCATCCCATTCCCTCACCTTCCAGCCTCAGACCTGCATCCACGTCAGCCTGTGTTCTGTGAGGATGCATGGGTCAGGTAGTGGGAGCTACTGTGCATCTGCTGCAGCACCCGAGGAAAGACTAGGCCCTGGACTGCAGACACCCTGCTGAGCAGGAAGCTTGTGGTCCGAAGGAGGGAGAGGCGACCAGTGTGCGTGTGTGTGTGCGCGCGCGCTGTAAAAACTGCGGGCTACATGAACGGCCAGTTTCAACTGGAGACATTCTGAGGATGTGGCTGTGCCTTTTCTTCACCAGCACCTGGAGCTACAGCACAGGACTGGATCTACTACTTAATGAATACCACTCACAGGTGAGCATTCACCCAGAGTCCAAGCCCTACATGCTAAGGACACTGGCTGTACTTAACTTCCTACCTTCATGGGTTGGCATCATTCCGCCATGGCAAACAACAGAGCTGTAATGCATGTTTATACCATTGAAACCTCGGTGAGCATGTTAAGAAAACCCCTCCCATCCACCACCACACATTTTGGAGAACGTTTCCCTTTGGTTACCTTGGGGTCCATACTGGCTCATTTGTGGACCGTAAGTGCCACTTGAGTTACTCTGCTGAAAGTTACTGATTCCAGGATGCATCTGGCCCCCAGGAGAAGGGTGAGGAGACATGGATGGTCCTGCCTGCTGAGGTCCGTACTGAGACATCTGAGGGTTTCTCTGTGTACCTGCCATAAAACCTGTATGGGAGACAAACAGAAACATGGTCATGCAGCTGTCTTATCATTTCTGCATTCAAAAAGTGCCCATGGGATCCCGTGGAAGGTAGATGGGAAGAGGGCTGGTACTCCCAGACTCCTCTAAAGAAACATCCAAAGACATCTCAACTCCAGGGTGGAGGATCTGGGTAGACACACTGGTCTTAATCTTGAACTCTCACTGGAGTTTCTGGGACACCAGTAATTGGTGGATTTGACCAAAGCAAATTCATGGGAAATGGGGCAGAGAGGAAGTCAACACCACCTCCTTTGTAGATGAGCCCCATACAGAACAGTTAAAGAGGGCCCACTTCCACTCACACCAGGCCAGGCTGGGGTCTGTGCCTCCTCTGTGGGGCACACAGGTCTACAGCACCCGGCTTCTTCCTCTCCACCCTCAGCTTCCCTCCTGACAGCTGTCCAGGTGGACTCCTGACAGCTTGACCACCTGTGAGAAGCCAGCTTCCAGTGCCACGCAGATCCCCAGCCCAACTGTGCTCTGCACCTCCAGCTGAGTTTCCAACTTCTACCCTTGAATCTGCTGTCAGTCACAGCCCATCCTGTGTGACATCATCCCAGGCCCAGAATCTGCCTGTGTGTGACATCATCCCAGGCC